CAGGGCTCTGCAAGGTTAGAGGTCCTGGTTCTTCAAGGGGGAACACTGCTACCAGGCAACACAGCAAGAATCCCATTAAATTGTAAGCTATGATGGCCCTTGGGGCACTTTGGGTTTCTCATGCCAAGGGACGTAAAGAGGAGTCATTGTCTTGGCAGGGGACATGGCCGACCTTGCTCCTCAGGAGGAGGTAGAGCTGCTGTATACAGTGGAGGCAGGGAGGAGTGTGTGTGGTACCCAGGTGTCCGCTTGAACATCTGCTGGTACCGTTGCTCAACTATGATAGTAAGTGGGCAATGTGGCTGTTTGTACAGCAGCTACAGCCTGAGAAGGGCAAGGAGACTAAAGGCTCAGGGATCTCTGCAGGAAGGGGTGAGCCACCCAGACCAACAGAGACGCTAGCTGAGGGTGGGGGAAATCTAGAATGTGTAATAGAAGGAGAAGATGAATATCATTTATGACGTTGAAATCAACTGCAGCAACAGAGACTATGGTTCATCTCACTACTGTGCTTTTTCAAGTGTCCCTGAGAAAACAAGACCGATTAGAATTCTAGAAATGCCATTCCCCAATGGGGTGAACTTACTATAAGAAGGAGGTAGATCGGACCAGCGCAATGTGTGGACTATGTGCTTCCCCCAGATCCTTACCTCCTTGCTTCAGGCCTTTGCATCTATCCCCCAGCTCTGGAATATCTGCTGCTGACGGCTCACACATGTCCCTCACTGGGTGTTGGCCTCTGCAGCAGGGATTTGCCTCACCCAAGATTATGCTTCCTCCCAGGGGTCAGCCTACAGCCAATGACTGATGTAGGAATACAAAGCCTGGCCACCCTGTTTCAACTGGGACAACTCTGAAGGGCCATTCCAGTGCCAGAGGTTCCCAGAGGATTGGCTGAGGCCTCTGTTGTGGTTGCATCACAGTTCAACTTTTCCCTCTGCACAATCCTGCTTCCCTCACAACCTCCCCTACAGGTGTTATTCCCAAGAGCTCTCCCCAGTAAATCTGCACGCAAATCTCAGAGTCTCAGGGTCTGCTTCCAGGGAAGTCTATCTGAGAAAAGAAGCCACAGTAAGAAATAAAGCTTATATAACCTACTACATATGTATTTACATAATAAACCATCCTATATATGTAATATATTATATAAGACACATATGTTGTACAGCAAATATGAGAATATAGAATGTCTTATATATTATGTAACATATAAAATGTTATACATTACATATTGTGTATATGTATTTAGAATATATATAAATATACATACATAATTGGAATTAAAGTTTCATTAAATAATTACTTGTACTATGTGTAATGAAGTCTGATTTTCCTATGCTATTTTATTTCATTTCATGAAGAAGAATATATACATATAGATGTATTATGCGCTGTAAAGCCATTATATAACACATGTATTATAGCGTATGTCATATATAATATAATATACATTATAGACTGTAGCTCTTAATGGAGCAACAGTTTTGCTAAACAACTCCACTTACTATGTACAATATGCTCTTTTATTCTCTATGAACAAAGTGAAATGCTGGTCATAAGCCAATAGGTGACCCATAGTTTGAAAAACATAGGATGAAATTATCCACAAAATGGGGAGATGAATCTCAACTTAGAGTTTTCAACTTTAAACCACAGAGGAATTGAGACCCAGGAAAGAATGAAAGTGGTGAGGATTGGTGGAAAAGGCGTCAGACTGTATTTGGGTGTACATTCCATCTCAGAGTTTGCACAACTCCTCCTTTATTCAGGACTGAAATCCCTGAAGCTTGAGTGGTTCCAAGTGTCTGCAAGTTGGTGAAACAGGTCTCTGTTCCCCACACTGAGCCTGGCGTACATACATAGGCTCTCTCCCTTCATCCACCTCATCCCACGTAAAGTAAACACTAAATAAATATTTGCTAGATTGCCTGGAAGAAAAGACTGGAGGGGATGCTGGGATAAAAGGAGGCTTCTGAGATGCAGAAGGGGAAGGGATGGATCTTTCACTGAATTCAGTAGGTGCTCACTAAATGATTTCTGGACAAAGAAAAAATGGAAAGCACTGGAGTTGTGATTATGGAAAGGGGAAGGGACTTGTCAGCATTCCCTTGTCAGATGATAAATGCTGGATGGAATGAAGGAAGGGACTTGTCAGCATTCCCTTGTCGGATGATAAATGCTGGATGGAATGAAGGACGCAGCAGCAAAGGACCTGCGTGGAGGGCTGGAGTGGAGACAGGAAGTCTAAAGGAAGGTGGTTACCTATATCCAGCAGGGGCCTAATTGATGTTTGCTGATTTCAATGGAGCAAACTTAGCCACGAAGATAACACGTTGGTGAGTGGACATTGGTGAAGGAATTACAGCACGTGCTCCATAAATGCTTTAGATTGAAAGAGAAAAAAGCAGAGAAGCCTGCTGCAGGGATGAGAATATGGTTGTTCGAAAATAATACAGTAAGAGATTAATAAGTGTTTTCTGGACTAATTCGGGGAGAAAAAGGTAGCCCGGGAGATGGTCACTAAGTGGAGGAAGAGGCTTAGCCAGAATAAATGGAAAACAGTACACATCATGAGCTTTAAGAATTGTGTTGTGTAAAAGGCAGGATGGAGATTGTTGAAGGGGGAATTAGGACTACCAGAAGGGGAGAAGAGCTGTTGAACGCAGGGTTCTTAGTAGCATACGATAAGTGCTCATTAAATGATTGTGGGGTTGCATGGAGAAAAAGGTATAGCAAAGCCAGCTGACAGTTGAGGATTTCAAGCACACCTGCATTTAGAAAAAAAAAGGAGGAAGCTGAAGAAAGGTTATTCCTAGTGTATGTATAATGGTGCATAATAAATAATAAATGCCTCCCACACTTTCATGGAAAGCATGCAATAAATATCTGTAGAATGAATAAATTGCTCTGCATAAAGAGAAAAGCTACTGGGTAAAGGCTCCTGTGGGAAGAGAGAATCTAACCAGTAAACAGCTGGTACTCAGTACATTTAGGCTGAAGTAGACCCCTGGAGAGAGAGCTCCTGAGGCAGGGGCAGTGATTTCCAGAGACTTGGAAGGAGGAAGTTGAAAGTGACTCATAGAGTAAGTGCTCAGTAAGTGTTTACTGACTTAAATAGACTAAATGCCCTTTGGGGGCATGGAATTAAAGTTGGTAGAGGGAATCCTGGGGGTACTGAAGGGAGTGGGAAAGGGGTGATCATTATAAACTCAGCTCTGGATTTATCACAGGAAAGGACCTTGGGAGAGGCCTTGTGATTGGAGCAGGCTCTCCTAGGGGTAAGGAAGAGGAATGTACCCCCTACAAACAACAGGTCCTGCATACATGCTCACTGGATCTACCATAAGAAAACAATTCTGGGGAGGAGGTGTGAATATACAGAACACACAGAAGGCACTCCATAAATGCTCAGGGGAGCCATTGGAGGAAAAGGCCTTTGGGGGAGGATGATTAGAATGGAGCACATGGCAGACAAGGAATAAACGCTCAGTGGATCCATTAAAAGAAAAGGCCTTTGGGGAGAGGGGCTGGGGATGGACATATAATCACCTGATAAATGCTCACTGCATCCTTGAAGGAAAAGCCCTCTGGGGAGGGGAAATGGGAATGCAGAAACTTGATCTATGGGAGCTTGATTCTTCATCCACAGGAGAAAAGGCTTTTGTGGAGAAGACACAGAATTAGGTACACAGTAGGTGCTTCATTAAATACTCCAAGGAGTGATGAAAAGAAAGGGTATTTGGAAAGAGTGACTGGAATGGTACACACAGTAAGTGCCAGATATATGAGCACTGTATTAACTAGAGGCACAGGCTCTTATGGAGAGGTCTAAGGTTGGGTCATGCAGAAAGTGCTCAATGCATGCAGACTGAAGCCACTGGGGGAAAGGGTATTGGGGAAAAGGTTTAGGGATGGGGTATACAGCAGGCACCACTCAATACATGCTTGCTGAATAGATTGGAGGACAGAACTTTTAGGGAAGGCTGACGCTGCAGGCAGTTGATAAATGCTAGATGGATCCACCAAAGGAAAGGTCATTGAAGAAGTAGCTTGAGAATGGGGGATACAAGAGGCGCTCAATAAATGTTTTCTAGATCTATTGTAGGAGAAGGTATTTGAGGAGACAGTCTGAAGATGAGTCACACACAGAAGGCTCAAAAATGTTCATGGAACTCACTGGAGGAAAATGATTTGTTTGAGAAGGGGTTTGGGGATGGGCATATATCAGGCACTTAATAAATGCTTCCTAGATCCTTTGGAGAAAAAGGCCCTCAGAGAGAGGGCTTGAAGTTGGGGCATACAGAAGGCATCCAATCAAAGCTCACAGGATCCACGAAAGACAACGCTTTTGGAGAGAAGCTGGGGTGGGATACACAGCAGGCACTCAATGTTTACTAAATAGTTTAAAAGGGCTTTAAGGACGGGGCTGGGGTGTGATACATGGCATAGCATAGCATAGGCTGAACACGTGCTCACAAGACCCATTAGAGAAGGCCTTAGGGCAAGGGTTGAAGAGAACAGGACAGTATTAAGCTCTCGAAAAATGCTCACAAAACTTACTAAAATCAAAGGCCTTGGGAAAGGGCTCCTGGTTGAGGCATACAGCAGGTACTAGATAAGTGCTCACAAGATCCATTAGAGGACAAGGCCTATGGGCAAGGGTTGGGGAGGGTAGCCAGGACACCTTCGTTTTTTGAAGGCTCATAGGATATACTGAAGCCAAAGAGCCAAAGACTTTTGGGGGAGGGGGAGTAAGGAACAGGTACACAGCAGGTGCCCGATAACTGCTCCCTGGATCCATCAAGAAGGTTTGGGGGATGAAGAAGGGGGGGCAACAAGGGTGGGGTACAGAGGAAGCGTTCAGCTTAACAATTTAAAAGAAAAAGGTTTAGATGAGAGGGCCAGGTGCCAGGCACACAAGTGGCGTTCAATAATTGCTCCTTCGCAGAGGAACGATCTGGGGACCAGGCCCACGGGAGACCTCCGCGACAGTGGCTTACCAGTCGGTGTGCGGCTCATCGATGACCAGCAGCACCCTGGAGGCGGCGCCCCCGCGGCCTGCGCCCCCAGAGCCGCCGCCCACCTGCTCGCTGAAGGTGGCAGCCGCTGCTGCCGTGGTCTGCTTGACCGCGTTGGACAGCGACGAGAAGAAGCCACCGCCCCCCGAGGACCCGGGGCTAGGGGCAGCCGGGGAGGCCGCGGGGGCGACCCCGGAGGACCTCTCGGCAGCGGCGGTCCCGGAACCGGGCGTGGCTCCGGGGCTGTGGGCACCGGGCGGCGGCGGGGGCGGCTGCGGACGCTGCAGGTCTGTCATGTACCCATTCGGCAGATTGGCCATAAAGTTGCTGTCCGACAGGCGGCGCCGCAGGTAGTTCATGGCTGCGGCTTGGGACAGGGGGTCTTAGGGGTGGTCTGACCAGGAGCCGCGGGGACGGACTGCGCGGTGTCCAGGAGCACAGCTGTGCTCTCAGGCACGACACGACTCCTCCGCTGCCCACCGCAGACTGAGGCAGCGCTGAGTCGCCGGCGCCGCAGCGCGGATGGTCGCGCCCGTGCCCCCCTATCTCGCGCCTCGCGTGGTGCGGTCCGGCTGGGCCGGCGGCGGCACGGACGCGACCAAGGTGGCCGGGAAGGGGAGTTTGCGGGGGAATCGGCGAGTGACGTCAGCGCGCCTTCAGTGCTGAGGCGGTGGTGGCGAAGGCGCTGTCCGCGGTGCTGAAGCTGACAGTGCGCACGCGCCTCGCCGCATCCTGTTCTCCTCCCCCTCTCTGATAGGGGATGCGCAATTTGGGGAATGGGGGTTGGGTGTTTATACAGAGGGTCGGGGTAGTCAGGTAGGCACTCCTACCCAGCCTCATCCTGGTCCTAACACCCATTCGCACTCATACACAGGACTCGCCGCAGATACTGTTTGTAGTGTTGATATTCACTGCAGAAGGCACTGTTTTGGGGAGGGGACAGTAGAAGCACACTCAAGAGACACGAAAGTAGAGAAATAACCCCCTCACAGAGGGGGGTGAGGTTACACGCCGTGCCCGCGGGGAAATCAGTCTCCCACGTCCACACAGGCTCAGCTAGGCAGAGAGTGGGGGCGTCGTAGACAGCATCAGACAAGCGGAGGCGGACACTTGGGTGGTGTACACACCCTTGCTCAAGGTGGCAAGGGGGGCCTGGAGGCACACAATAAATGACACATATAAACACACACAAAAGTGAGGAAAAATACAGGGGCATGTACAGTAAGAGAACACACGCCAATCTAGGTATACATACAGACATACAAATCCAGTGTAACACACATAGACATGCTGCATACATGCATACATACACCCATACACACACACACACACGCACAGAGACAACACACTGATACACAGAGACCCAGGGAAACTCATATGAGCATGCACTCACAGACAAAACACATTCCCACCAATGATCATGGAGAAACCTAGATCTGCAACACAGACATTCTCTGCAGCCCTAGCCCTGGTGCGTGTCCACCCCCACACCAGAACGCACTTGGTATATATGCCACCATCCCTTTGCTCTGGACACAGCCAAAACTCGTGATAACCACCTGATGTCATCAGTGACCATGCTGTCTCCCCTTGCACCCAAGAACTTTCCACAGAGGCAGGGCCATCCCATGCTGCACACACAGTAGGTACCAAATAATGTTTGCATATGAGCAAATGAGGTAGTCCAAGCAGAGGTGGGATGTGGAAACCTGTCAGATCTTTATGATTCTGACTACAATAAAAGCACTAATTCATAATCATTTGTTCACTGATTATACCCAACTCTTAACTAAGCTGTTTATATGCATCATTTCATCCAACCCTCACAACAATCCTATGTGGTGGATAATATAATTTCTATTTTACAAATGAGGGAATACAAGAACTCCAATTAATTTTCAAAGAGTCATCTTCAATTTATGATTTATACATTTTTGTCCTTTAAGAATGTGCCAGGAAAAGGAAACATCCAGTGCCAATGTGGCTGGAACAAGCTGAAGGGGGTTGTGGTAGCAGGGGCCAGATTGGATAGGACCTTGACCATAGTGAGCAGTGATGGTGGACCAAGAGAGGTGGCAGAAGATAGGCAAGAAGTAAGTAGATATGGAGTCTCTTTTGTCTGCAGAATTTTCAGGTGAATCATCCACTTATTCATTTGTTCATCCTTTGTTCATTAAATCATTGGCTGGTTTAAACAAGGCAGTAATAGTGTGGGGTCTGGAGACACAGTACCTGAGTTCAAGTCGGGCCTCCACCATACCCTTGGAAAAGTGACATAATCCTTCCGAGATTTTGTTTCCTTATCTGTAAAAAGAGTACATCTCAGCCGAGTGTGGTGGTTCACGCCTATAATCCCAGCACTTTGGGAGGCCGACGCAGGCGAATCACGAGGTCAGGAGATCAAGACCATTCTGGCTAACATGGTGAAACTCCATCTCTCCTAAAAATACAAAAAAAAAAAAAGATGAATCGGGTGTGGTGGCACGCGACTGGAGTCCCTCCCAGCTACTCAGGAGGCTGAGTCAGGAGAATCACTTGAACCCAGGAGGCAGAGGTTGCAGTGAGCTGAGATCGCGCCAGTGCACTCCAGTCTGGGTGACAGAGTGAGACTCTGTCACACACACACACAAAAAGGGTACATCTCTAATCCACCTCTAAGGAGAGGGGTACTTCTGCCAGGAATGCTCTCTCCTTACCTCTCTCGAGGGCTGCCTTTGGCCACTGTCTCCAGGAACCCCTCACCCCCGGGTCTCAGATTCCATCCCCTCCTCCCCTAGGCTTCCACAGTACCCAAGTCTAACATTTCCCAAACTATCCTCTACTCTCTCCTCCAACCCAGCCAGCTTCAGTCCCACCTCCAGGCCTTTGATTTGGCCACTCTTTCCTCCTCCCTCCAGAATACCTTCTATGGCTTTCCAAATCCCAGTGTTCCCCAGATGGGGATCTCTCCACAAATCAGATATTTTCCAACGTCTTGAAGTATGTTGTCCCTGGTTTTTTGCCCAGTAACTGAAGCAAACAAACTGTGCAGGGTATGGCGCCCTCTTTGGGGACAGGAACAGCTGCAGGTCTACAGATCTTTCTGGATCCTTTAGGTCTGAATTCAGGTTCCCCAGGAATCTGTCTACAGGCTGTGCCTCTTCCTAGGGTCACCATTCCTAGGTTCCTAGTACTCGTGGCCCCAGCACCATTTTATTTTCCAAGGTGGCTCAATTTCCAGAAATTACTTTTTTGTAGATTGTTTTGTAGAGAAATGAGGATTCCCCCAGGAGTGCCTCAATTTCCTAAGGCAAAGGTAAGGCTCCCCTAAACTGTCTCCACCTTCTTCAGCAGGAATGGGTATACAAAAGGGGCCCCAAGAATGATTTTGCTGTACATTGGTGAGCAATGACTCTCAAACACACACCGCTGACATATGTTCACATTCAGTATTGTACTCATGTTTATAACTCACATATACATATCCATGGCACCTTAATATGTATGTGCACACATGTATGACTCCTGTATTGTTATGGCATACAGACAGTTGTAACCTCACACACATGCCACATACATTCAATAAATCCTTAATTCTTGCACAGCCCCAAAGGTCTGCATCTCTTTCTCTCTCTCTCTCTCTCACACACACATGAACTCCCACTTTCTTGTAAAGGTATATCTCTCTCATACCCCATAGTAGCAACCAGAACCTCTCACTTTGGCTCAGTCTTCCCAAGATGACCAAGTAAGTACTCATCAACTTCATCTTTACTTCAACTCATCGACTGGTCCATTTGAATAAGGGGAAAATGACCCAGAGAAGTCAAATAAGTGTACTGATACACTCTGGGTGTGCATGTAACAAACCTCCCACCCAAACCTTCCCACACAGAGGGGTCCCCTTCAACCACAGCACAAAGTCCTGAACTCCACTCTTGACCTTTAAGACCTCACCACAATCAATGATGCTTCAAAAATGTCCAGTCTACTACCTTTCCTAAATCGGTTTGCTGTGGATGAAATGAGTTCATGCTATGGAAAGCCTTAAGACACTATTGGGAGCACAGTAAGTACTTTCTAAGTAGTAGCTATTACCGTGATTCTTATGATTCTTATGGTGTGTCTCCTCACAAGGGGCCCGGCATTCAATAGGTAGTAAATGAATGAGCAAATGCTAAGAGCACTGGTGTCTGGCTTTGTTCCCTTTACTGCGGAGGCATGTAACGCTCTGATTCCTCTTCTCCTCTATACCTCCTCATGCCCAGCACTATTGTTAATATACAGTAAGCATTAACTGTTGAATAGATGTTCACATGAAAGGAATACTTCCTGAGTCCGTTCTCTCGCTTAGATGTCCTGTTTCTACCATCCCTCTTCCACCCTAGATACCCAGACTTAGCTTTAGTATACAGCAGGCGCTAATAGGTGTTGAATGAATGAACAAATACCAGAGAAAGTGTCTGGATTTGTCTTGGGGGGCTCTTCCAGGCAGATACTGACTCTAGCTTCTTTGCCCCTGCCTCAGCTCAGAGCGCAACAAGGGCACTTCCTCGGCCCGCCCCCCGCCTCGCGGAGCTATTTGTCGCTGGTAATTGTGGCATTGGAGCTGTCGGGAGTGGGTGGGTGCAGGTGCTCGGGCGGCAGGGTGCCAGCTTTGGCCACGCCTCTGCCGTTCTCATCCTCCACTGACGGGGAGTCGGTGGGAACCTAGGGAGGTCCAGGAGGCAGGGAGACAACGAACAAGCACGCCGGCCAATCAAGAAGTGCCTGCCAGGGCGAGTAGCCAATCAGGAAACCCGTAACGCGGAGCTCTGCAGAGGAACGTGCCAGGCGACCCAGGGGGAATAAGGGGCTGCGAATAAGGGGCTGCGCAGGGCCCAGTCTTTGGGATTATGGCAGCGGTGGGGTGAGGCTGGGGTTGCACACTTGCTTTCACTCCTGCCAACCTGCGACCACAGTGGAAAATGCTGTTTTCCACAACAGGCTATTACGTCTTGGCCAGTGCTGTGCCCTTTGCCCTGTGAGATGCTATCACCCTACTTTTGGGGAAGGGGATAGGTTGTTTTTCCTCCTTTAAGGAATCGTAGACGAACTCGAAGAGGCTGGTTTATTGAGGTATGGAAGGTTGGGGGGTCAGAGTGGAGGCGAGAAATGTTATTTCTCTTCCTCAGGGTCTTTGCAAGCAGGCACGTGTAGACATGGCCGTTTCTCCTCCACCATCAGCTTCTTCCCCTGTAGCTCCTCACACTCTGGCAGCGGTCTCCCCCAGAAGGTCACGTTCTTCTCACCCTGACCTTCGACTTGGGAAACGGTGGGCCTGAGGCATTAGGGGAGGGGAGGAACGGAAAAGAGAAGCCCAGGGAAGGCAAGAATGCATTCAACCCTTATTGAGTGCCTGCTATGTGCCCAACACTACTTTTTTTTTTGAGACAGGGTCTCACTCTGTTGCCCAGGCTGGAGTGCAGTGGCACAATCATAGCTCACTGCAGCCTCGATCTCCTGGGCTCAAGTGATGCTCCTGTCTCAGCTTCCCAGAATGTTGCTGGGATTATAGGCATGAGCCACTGTACTTGGCCTCCCAACACTACTTTTTAGCTATGGGAGATTGGACAATTTATTTAGCTTCCCTGTGCCTCAGTTTCCCTCATCTTCAAAATGAGAATGGTATGAATAGTAATATTAATAACCACCTCATGGGGCTGAGTGAGAACAAATTAGTTAATTCA